CTTCTGGTAAAGTCGCTAGCGGCTCAACAGATGTACACAATGTTGTATGTAAAATTCTAAAACACACTACAAAGATCATAGCTGCGTTGATATTGTGTATCGATGAAGTCGGTAAAAAAATATTTATACAAAAAAATCGAGTGAGCTTAAACAATTGGAAATAATGCCTGATGTTAGAAGATTAAGACTTGGACGGCGTTCGCGCAATTTAATAAATAGTCAGAATTTCCGTAATAGTCGGACGCAAGAGAAACGTGCAGAAACAAAAGCATCGACACGTGCCCGAATGGCACAGCTTCGTGCTGCACAAACCCCACCTCAAGCCCGACAAAATAATAGAGGATGAAGCGACCAACTATCCGACAGAATTTTTGAACTCACTGGATGTGCCAGGAACTCCGCCGCATAATTTGCAACTGAAGGTGGGATCAGTTATTATAAAGCTGCGAAATCTAAATCATCCGAGATTATCCAACGGTACGCGGTTGTCCGTTAAGAAACTAATGAACAACGTGATTCAAGCGACGATCATCAAGGGTAAATTTAAAGGAGAGGAAGTTCTTATCCCAAGAATTCCGATTATTACAACAGATCTCCATTCCAATTTAATAGGATTCAGTTCCCAGTTCGATTGGCATTTGCGATGACAATCAATAAATCGCAAGGCCAGTCGTTGGAAGTCTGCGGGATAAATCTGGAATATCAATGTTTTTCACATGGACAGTTATACGTAGCCTGTTCGCGTGTCGGAAAGTCGTCATCATTATTTATTTTTACACCGGATAACAAAACAAAATATATTGTTTATCACATCGCTCTCCAATGATTTCGAGTCAAAAAAATTTGAATTACCAGTGTTCTATTATTACTCTGGGGTTATATGAAATCGTGAAATTGGGGCGAGACAAAGTTCGCCGGGTCCGCTAGTTTTATATAATAGAAAAAGCTAAACTTTTAATAAATATAGTAAAAATATTTTCCTTTTTTTTTCCAATTGGGAATATTCTTCTGGGTAACTTCTGGAAATGTCGCGGAAGTCACTTCTAGAAGTGTCGCCGAAGTCACTTCTGGAAGTGTCGCGGAAGTCACTTCTGGAAGTGTCGCGGAAGTCACTTCTGGAAGTGTCGCGGAAGTCACTTCTAGAAGTGTCGCGGAAGTCACTTCTAGAAGTGTCGCCGAAGTCACTTCTGGAAGTGTCGCGGAAGTCACTTCTGGAAGTGTCGCGGAAGTCACTTCTAGAAGTGTCGCGGAAGACACTTCTGGAAGTGTCGCGGAAGTCACTTCTAGAAGTGTCGCCGAAGTCACTTCTGGAAGTGTCGCGGAAGTCACTTCTGGAAGTGTCGCGGAAGTCACTTCTAGAAGTGTCGCGGAAGACACTTCTGGAAGTGTCGCGGAAGTCACTTCTAGAAGTGTCGCCGAAGTCACTTCTGGAAGTGTCGCCGAAGTCACTTCTGGAAGTATCGCGGAAGTCACTTCTGGAAGTGTCGCGGAAGTCACTTCTAGAAGTGAATCGACTTAAAAATAATTATGTAGTCAAAATGTAAAGAATTTGGGACATTCTAAAAATAGAAAGCAAACTGTGAACACATCTTCAATTTTGCTGCTACAGCTGCGTTTTAGTGCTTTTCGTCAAAACAAAAGTGAAGTTCAAAATGGTCGGACGTTCGCAAAAATTCACCAAATTTAATTATTTAAAATGCATTTTAAAGTTGACGGTATTAACTTTAAAAAATTGGTTTTATAAAATTTATCTGACTAACGTCAGATAATTTTGTGAACGTCTTTTCATGTTTAGTTAAAGTTTTAGTTGTGATCCCACGAAATCCCACAAATAGTACGTTTGTTAATGTATTCGTCTGACTTTTAGGGTACTATATGCCTAAAATCAGCTGCAGAAATTTGCAGATGTTTATATGTATAATCGGAAAAATACTGATGCCATCTAGCGTTTGCCAAGGGAAAGTTTTTCCTTATTGTGCTTTTGTTTTGTCCTCGTCGCTCGTGTTTGTAATGTTTTTTGAAATTTTTTTATTTATTTATTTCATTGAAATTCACTTTTTAGGAGATTCCCATAAGTGTGTATTTACACGACTATTTATTTTTAATCTTTGGTGTGCAGAAGGTGGCACTAACGCTGGAAGATTACAAAAAATTATTGAAGTTATGCAAGAGCAAATTGAAAACTACGGTTACATTCCCGAGCTAAGGCAACTACCAAAACGTATTGATTGCATATGCAAAAGAATTGCTACTTTTTGGGATAGCTACAAACGGAAGAAAACTGCAATTATGCAATATCAATAAATTTGGTTGAATGAAATAGATACAATTGTGTTCATGTGCTCATGAGTTTTCTCAACCAACACAAGAAAGTGTCAATCTTGGACGGCCGAAAATTGACATTTCAGATTGTTCGAATAGAGCAAAACGTCGAAGGATTGCTGAAATAGCGAAAATGGATAACTCTGCTGCTTCCTTGCTTCGATCGTGCAGCTTGTCTTCAGGCCAGCGTTGCCAGACGTCCCGATTTTGGCGGACGTCCCGATTTTTAAATTAAAATTAAATGTCCCGCGCGGGACCGGTTCAGTCCCGCTTTTTAATGATAATTCGAACGTGCGGGCTGATGAAGCGCTCAGGAGTGAGAGAGGCGCGTGCGACTGCGACTTCCTCACTTTCTCTTCGCTCTTTCCTTATTTTCATTTGCTTATAATTTTCTGTTTCACGAAAACGTACGATTATCAACGAAAGAATAACGATTACCGTTTGTTTTAGAGCAGTGAAGCAGTAAATATTTTAAAAACTTCTGGTTATATACGTTTTTTATTATGTCCCGCTTTCGACGTAAGAGTACCGCTTTTTTCACTAAAAAAGTTCCTAAGTCCCGACTTGGCAAAAAAAAAAAAAACTGGCAACGCTGCTTCAGGCCCAAAATATTGCCAAGCCGATATTGACGAAGTTTTATCACTTTTGGTGGAGACGAATTTAACGAAACATCAATATTAGCTTATTCGTTAGTTTATTAATACGCTTGTGTCAGTTGACTCCTTGGTCTATTGATGTTCATTTCACACCATCAGTAGATTAGTCTAATTCGTATTTATTTGTTAAATAATTTTTTTCTGACCCCATCATGATTTCATAAATAAAATATTTGCCGTCGGCAACAACAACTTTCGTTTTGCTAAGGGGTCGATAAAACTATTGCCAAAAGTTATCGTCAATGCTGCCGTACTTGTAGTGGAACGAAACACCCACTTTAAAATACTTATAAAATGAAAACGAAGAAAAAAATATTTGATATTTAAAATATTTTGACAAAAGTGTAGTAAAAAAGTTGTTGAGAATAGTGGAATGAAAGCTGCAAAAAAGGTGGCAGCCCCTTATTGTAGGAAACACAAATAAGACAACTTATTTTGTGTATTTAAAACTAAGTGCAAAGCTATTGTTTTCAGGGGGAAGCATAAGTCAACGCTCCAGGATGAAATCTTGCTGGGTTTTATGAAAGACAAGCCAGATATTGCCCGAGGATTTGTCAACCATTCCGATAACGAAACGATGACAAAAAATTTGTGAAAACCGGAGCACCTAAAACGAAAACGTACGTTTTCGCCCAAAAACGAAAACGAAAAAAAGTGAAAACCGGAGCCTGCGTGTATGACTTGACTAACTTTCTCTTTTTGTCTTGCGGATTTTATACCTGTTTAGATCTTTCATTATACCCTTGCAGAGCAAAAGGGTATTATAATTTCAGTCAGAAGTTTGCAACGCAGTGAAGGAGACACCTCAGACCCCATAAAGTATATATATTCTTGATCAGCATCACGAGTAGAATGAGAATACGTCTACACGTCTGTCCGTATGTCCGTCTGTCTGTTTCTCTTCAAACTAGTCTCTCAGTATCTTGATAAAACTTTCCCAAAAGGTGTGTAGTTATTGCACGCAGTATATAAGTCGGAACGGGCCGGATCGGCCGACTATATCGGATAGCTCCAATACGAGAGAATGAAATAAAAAATTCTCAGGCCGTTGTTTTTGATCAGATCGACTTGAATTCTTTCAGATGGCGTTTTCTAACTACTATTGAATTTCGGATTAAATTTGATCAAAATCGGATAACTCCCATTTTATCCCATGAGCATGATTTTTTGAATATCAAGTTTTTTAACAACTCTTATATTGAGAAAAAAGTTTCATAAAAATCGGACACCTATATCTTATAGCTGTCATAGGAAAGATCGAAATATCTGTATAGATATAACGGAAGTAAAATGATAACATCGTGGTTTTTCATCAGACAAGTATGATTTTTGAAATATAGAGTTTTCTTAAGACTCTTAAATTACGAATTAAATTTGATCAAAATCGGACAACTATATCATATAGCTCCCATATGATCTACAGTCGGAAATATGGAAAATGAATAGAAAAATCGTTATAGCTTCGATGTTTAGCCTTTATGCATTTTGTTCGACATATTTGATTACTGCAAGGGTATATAAGCTTCGGCTTGCCGAAGCTAGCTTCCTTTCTTGTTTTAAATTAAAGTCAGACTTCCAAAATTAAACAATTTTCCAGTTATCAGTAGCTTATTTGGGACCTAAATTCTGCCAAAACAACACCTCTAAAATAACCAGATTGATTTTTAGGTCTGTAACCGTGTGACTCGTTCAGCAATAGGGCTTTTGCCTGTTTAGTATTTTATTATTCCAAACTATATCCCAATACATTCATAATCTTATTTCCAAACAATACTGAATAACTTATCGATTATCTTTCGACTACGTTACAATATGGCAAATCGAAAATCTTTTATAAAACTTATTGTATCTTCTTATCGATGCCAAACATGTTATTCTTTTTTATTTAAAAACCCAGAAATACTAAATTTCATTTGAATTTTTTTATTTCGTAAAGGTCGATTAAGAACGTTAAAATACAAATGGATTGAAATTCATTCAGCTTTAAATGGTTTAAATGTGTAAGAGCAGATATGAACTTACCATGGTTTAGTATTTTGAAGAACATCTATAAGGGACTGTAATTGATGCCGAAAATTATCACTAACAGTACACTTCGTTTTAGAAGAGCCTCGAGGATAACTTGAACTGATGAATTGAAGATCCTAAAAAAATATCAAATCTATAACATCAGAGAATTAAAAACACAAATTTTAAGCAATATCAAACAATAAGAATGTAAAACAGAATCACTTCCCAGCAGCTTCATTCAACTCTCAATCATCAATCAATCACGAAAAAAACTTTATAAATATTCGTGAATAGAATTTCGGTATGACCTACGCGTTATTTTTTTTTCATTTATTAACGATGATATAGCAATATCGATTGCCTCGGTCATAAATGCCTTGAATTGTGAATTTGCTATGAAATTGTTTCCAAAAATTTAGAAAAAATATTATAATTATTTTACTTTAAAAATGGAATACTTTGGCTGATTATATTTTATAGCTCCCATAACAATTCGGCTGAAAATGTATTTTCGTTTTAGACTGAAACACGTTTTTTTTTGTCAAAATTCTTTATTTTATTCAACATAGTTTTCTTTTTCCAAGCGATTTCGTCCTACAAATGCTCTATTTACGCAATGTAAAAGTCGCCGTTGATGGTCTGCCCCTTCTAGAGATAGTCTATGAATTATTATTATTCCATGTGCATCCCAAAATACGGAGGCCATAACCTTGCCAGTTGCGTTTTTGCACGCCGTCCATACAGATGACTGCTGTTTCCGACTCCAGAGTGTAGTGATGGAGCCATTTTTTTTCTTTCGTTGCTTTTATATTATAACCTAACTATAAGTCAAATAGACTGAAAAAGTTAAAATGAGCCTGACAAATTATGGATGGGTTTGATGGGTTCGTTACGTCATGGGCGGGAAACCCGAGTCAAATTCCCTACGAGAGGAATTGGGTGGGCTGAGAGATATTCCTTGTATGACGCTTTTTGCTTCTCTATTTCATTTTTTACGCGAGAATGATCCCTGTGGATGTTTTGGTTTTGAATATACCATGGTGCCACAGTGATAGTTCTAAGGAGCGCTATATGATGTTTATGTTGGTTTTGCTCGCGTTCCCCAAAGCTGGGAGCAATACGTCCAGATTGGCTTAAGAGTGGAGTTGTAGAGCAGACACAATCCAGTGGAGGCTGCTGGCTTTTAGTTTTTGGGTGTAGTTTCTTGCATTCGAGGTAGACGTCGAGATACGATACTTTGTTGACTTGGGGGATCTGTGTGCTGTTCAAGTAGATCGGAGGACATGTTTGCCTGTTGAGGGTAAACGTTACGTGTTTACACTTCTGTTCGTTTATTTTGATACGCCAGTCGGAAAGCCACTTCTCCACTACGTGAGGTGGTTGGCTAATTGGGATGTTGCACGGACTGAGCACCTGGAGCGGCTGAGGATCGCAGTTTCGTCCGCGGAGGTGGATGTTATTAGTCCGTCGCTCGTGAGAATATCCGCTGTATAAAGGACGATTAGGGTTGATCCAAGTGCGCTTCCTTGTGGGACTCCAGGTTCGATTTTGTAGCTGTCGGATATTGTTGTGTTGCACCACATTGCGAAGACTCTGTTGATAGAGATACGACTAAAGAAATTTATTAGTGTACCCGGGAAAATGTGTTTTGATTTTATGCATGAGACCGTTGAGCCAGTCGCGTTCGAATGCTTGAGATACGTCTCCCTTATATGGTATTATGCGTGTTAGAAGAATAAACTTATTGGTCGGAATCGTGTGATCTTTTCCAGGCATCGGTATCATTATGATAATAAACGTTTTCTATTTCTTTGGGTAGTAGCCGAGACTTATGATCCCATTGAAGAGTTTACAGGTGACCTCAATAGTATAGTTCGGAATGTCAATTATCACTTTTCGAGTTATGCCGTTGGCATTTCACATGGATTGGTCATTGATTATTTGGACTGTTGTGATACAAGCAACTGCATCACCATACTCTGGTTCTGAACCAACGTTTGCATGGTCGCTTTCATAAATGACATGATCTCCATCACACTTTGTTGCTTGGTTGTGATGGCCCGCCGCCACAATAAAATAATAAAAAAATAAATAAACTGACGCCGATCTAAATTCCAAGTGGAGTTGCCTTTAACACTCTATTTCACCGAAACGAGAAATACCAGATCTCGTAGCGTAACAACACATCAATTTGACAAGCATAGATGAGCGTGTATTATGAGCGTTTTATTCTGTTGAGGAAAACATACAAACTTAACTTTAACCTCAACCTATATCTTCTACATACCGCAGTATTTCCTCCATTCTCTCTTGGAATCGCCTATCGGAGTAACCGTGGCGCCAATCTTAGCGTAGCTTTTTAGTACATAGTATGACCAATCTCAAACAAATATAAATCACTAACAAATACTGAACGTAGCGCGTAATTCAAAATACTGACTGACTATCGATACTTAACAGACATTATCATTAACATTATCCGATCCGCGACATCCCGGCCCCCGTGAAGCGACCGAATTCACAGCATCCAGCACAGCTAGCTTCGAAGCGGGGCGGATCATCCTGGCTCGATCGTCAGTCCGTACCGCCGCTCGTCTGGGCACTCCATCTACTCCAGCGAACACCTCCTCCACGATCCTTCGTTTCCATTCTCGACGTGGTATGGCCGGATCGCAGGGGCTCGACGTGCTTGTACCATTTCTCCCTGCGCACAAGAGTAGGCAAATACTCGTGTACCCATCGCTTCCAGAATCGGTCTCTCATCATCCTGGCCAGTCGCCACTGCTTCTTAGTGGCGCACTTCTCCAACGGCTGTCCATTCCCTCCGGGTAGATCCGGCAAATTTGGTACTCTTTTCAGCAAGTCGTTGGGTGTCAGTGGAGCTTCCTGGTCCACCATGACTGGCAAGTGCGTTAGAGGGCGAGAATTGACTATGTTCTCCGCCTCGATCAACAGATTCTCCAGAACATGTTCCTTGGGAGCCAGCTCCCTCGTCGTATGCGCCAGTACCTTCTTGACGCACTGGACCATCCTTTCCCAGGCGCCACCCTCAGCTGGGTTCGCCGGACATTTGAAGATCCATTCCACTCCTTTGGACGATAGCTCGCCTTGGATCTTCTCTGGCTCGAAAACCTCGTCGAATCTTCGGGCCTCTCGATTGGCTCCAACGAAGTTCTTCCCATTGTCGCTTCTTATCTTGACCACCGGTCCTCGCCGACTCATAAAATTTCTCATAGCGATGATGCAGGAATCTGTGGATAAATCATGGGCCATATCCAAGTGGATCGCCCTCGTGGTTAGACAGGTGAACAGTGCCACCCACCTCTTCTCAATGCGACGTCCGTTCGTCACGTGCCACGGTCCAAAATAATCCAGGCCTGTGTACTTAAATGGCCATCCGTTGGCCTCTAGTCGGTCCTCTGGCAGTGGTCCCATTATTGGCTGCATCGGTTGTGCCCTCCGCAACTTGCAAATGCGGCAGTCAGCCATCACCTTCCGTAGCAGCCTCCGTATACTCGTTATCCAGTACTTCTTTCGTATCTCGCCTATGGTCGCATCCTGGTTCTGATGCCCCATCCTTTCGTGGTAATGGCGTACCACCATCTCCGTCAGCGTGTGTCTGTGGGACAGTATAATTGGGCGCCGAGCACTGTATGGTACACATGCAGCGGCGTCGATCCTTACCCTTACACGCATGACTCCTTCGTCGTCGAAATACGGGGACAGCCCTCGCAGTTGGCTGCCTTCTTTTGGGATCTTTCCCGTCTCGTCTCTCTCTTCTCCAGAGAACGCTTCACTTTGCGCCCGCCGGATGAGTTCGCGCTCTGCCTTGACGCATTCATTTGCCGTGAGTCCATATTCCTCACTGTCGCTATACTGGCCGCGACATCGTCGGACGAATCTGAGAACCCAAGCTGTGGTCCTCACAAGACGGTTGTAGTTCGAGAACCTCTGGAAAGATATAAAAAACCCGTTTGCAGTCACCAAGGCAAACTCACATGGCATCTCTTCCTCGTCGCTCGCTTTCGTATTGTGACTACCACTCGAGGAACTCTTCGGCCAATTCTCCTCTGGTTCCCGTAGGAACGTCGGCCCGCATAACCATCGTGACCTTTGACTTAGGTCCACATGGCATTGCGGTCTGGTTGCGTCTTCTGCCACGTTTTCGGCAGTTGGAACCCATCTCCATTGGGATACTTCCGTCGACTCCAGGATTTCTGGCACCCGGTTTCCAACGAATTGTTTGTATCGCCGGTGGGTGCTGCTTATCCAGTGCAGCACGGTCTTTGAATCCGTCCATAGTATACATTCACTTATCTCCAAACTGTGTTCCTGTCTCACAGTGTTCATCAGACGTGTCCCTAGCACGGCCGCTTGAAGTTCCAGTCTCGGGATTGACATTGTCCTCATCGGAGCACATTTCGTTTTGGCACACACGAAAATCGCCTGCACATCGTCGTTTGCGTAGGTGGCCCGCCAATACGCCGTCGCAGCGAACGCCGACTGACTGGAGTCCACGAAGACGTGCAGCTGTAGTGCTCGTACTCGTCCAGTTCCAAAGTAATAACGTGGACATCGGAACTCTTTCACAAAACTCATCTCTTGCCGCCAGCTCTCGAATGCGGCAGCTAGCTCGCCTGGCAACGGCTCATCCCAGATACGCCGTTCACTTTAGCTGCTGCGTCGAAAACTAGGCGGATCTTCCCAGGCTTGTTTGGGTTCTCGACCCCGAAGTGCGGCAGGTACCTCAACTTGTCACCGTTACCATAAGTGATCTCCTGCTGCCCTAGTCGACGTGCGTATCCTTTCTTGACGTAGTCATCCATAATTCCGTTGTAGGCCCGCGCGAAGTTCGTGTCGCGCCTCATTTTCCTTTCGATGTTGACGAGTCGCTGCAGTGCCATGCTGTAACTATCTGGCAGTCTCACCTCGTCATCTTTCCATAGCAGCCCAGTCTGGTGTCGTTGGTCTATCCACTTAGTCGTTCCCTGCAAGATGCCCAGGGCCCGTTCATCGTCGCTTGCTGCGACCGGTGGCGCTGGCTTCACTCCAAAGTTTTCAATTTCGAAATACTCGCTGACCATCTTCTCCAGAGCGTCATCCTGGGTAACGGCTAGAAGGCACGATCTCCCAT